CTCCCTGAATCCTTTTCACCAGAGTATCCGGGGGATGGGGATGGGCACGCTTGGGGTCGGGGGAGAGCTTTCACAAAAATTGTGGTGGGAGCATAAGGATAAAGGTGTTAGGGTTCTTTCTCCACTCCACTCCTCCCCCACCCCAAAAGCAACAAGAACACCTTGCAGATTGCAGCAATAGGGTCTGGCAACACCAGCGGGGCGGTGGGGGGGGGTTCCTCTTGATGAACAGCCTCCAGCCTGCATAGAGAAGTACATTTTAAAGAGCAGGGCAGCCGGAACCCACCTTGCCCTTTGCTTACCTAGGCAGAAAGCCACCGGGGGGGGGCATGGGGCAGGCTGGAGCCAAAGGGGTGGCCCTCCTATTGCAAACAGCAGGGCGGCAGGGTGGGGTGGCTTCAGGCCCCTGGGTTCCCCTGACAAGGCTTGCTCTTCCATGCAGGTTCTTCACGGATCACCCTGCCAGCAAGCAATACTTCAAGACGGTCCCCACCGAGGGGGACCTGCTGGCCAACCCTCAGGTGGGCTTCCACGGCCGGAGGGTCATGGTCGCTCTGAACCAAGTGATTGAGAATATCAGCAACTGGAAGCAAGCCTGCCGGTTGCTGGAGTGCTTGGCGGACAACCACAGGAACATCCACCACGTCCCCTCAGCCATGTTCCAGGTACTGGGCCCCGGGTGCAAAAAGGGTCAGGGAAGCACAGTGGTTGTCCTCCCCCCCACTCCTGCTTTGCCCTTGGGGTGGCTGGGATCATCGCAAGCCTGTGCGTGCTTGCGAGCATGCGTCTTTTGGTGATGGCAGGAGTGGAAGGAGGGCTATAGACAACGTGGCATCCTTTCTGCCTGTCAGACTTTGTAGGGGGGGGGCATGGGGCAGGCTGGAGCCAAAGGGGGGGCCCTCCTATTGCAAACAGCAGGGTGGCAGGGTGGGGTGGCTTCGGGCCCCTGGGTTCCCCTGACAAGGCTTGCTCTTCCACACAGGTTCTTCACAGATCACCCTGCCAGCAAGCAATACTTCAAGACGGTCCCCACCGAGGGGGACCTGCTGGCCAACCCTCAGGTGGGCTTCCACGGCCGGAGGGTCATGGTCGCTCTGAACCAAGTGATTGAGAATATCAGCAACTGGAAGCAAGCCTGCCGGTTGCTGGAGTGCTTGGCGGACAACCACAGGAACATCCACCACGTCCCCTCAGCCATGTTCCAGGTACTGGGCCCCGGTGCAAAAAGGGTCAGGGAAGCACAGTGGTTGTCCTCCCCCCCACTCCTGCTTTGCCCTTGGGGTGGCTGGGATCATCGCAAGCCTGTGCGTGCTTGCGAGCATGCGTCTTTTGGTGATGGCAGGAGTGGAAGGAGGGCTATAGACAACGTGGCATCCTTTCTGCCTGTCAGACTTTGTCCCCCCCCACATGGTCTCCTCGGCAGGGCTCCTTTCCTTTCACCTCCAGGCATGCCCCCCCCATTTGACCTTGGCAGGAGGAGGCACAGCCTTCTCTCTCTCTCTCTCTCTTTTCACCAATGCACCTCACCTTATCCCATGGCTGTGCCACCGTCACACCCCCCCACCTGCCAAACACCCTACAGAAACCCACAGCAGCCACAGAGAGCTACCAGTCCTGCTTTACATGTGGGTCCAGGAGGCAGGTAGGTGGCAGGAGGGTGTCGGGGGAAGGAAGTGAGATGGTCCTGCAACCGTGGCGAGGCAGAAGCAGAAGCAGCAAAGTCTGGGCTGGGCCAGCCCTTGGCAGGGAGGCTCAGGTGGGCAAAGCTGCTGCTGCTGCTGCGGCTGCTGCTGCTTCCCATGGCATTTCTGCCAGAGACGAGAGAAGGTGCAGAGGCAAGGGCACCTTCAGAGCTGGCGCAGGCAGGCAGGCAGGCAGGCAGGCAGGCAGGCAGTTCATGGAGAAAAGCAAGGGGGCAGCAAAGACGGCAAACAGCTGGCAGGAGAAGGTGAGGTGGGCAAGCATTACCTCCGGTACCTTCTGAATGGAGGGGAGCTGCCCCAAATGGCTGCTGCCCCTCCAGTAGGATCTCTCGCCACCACCAGCCCCCCCACCAGCCCTCCTGAATGGCTTCTCCCTTGCCCAGTTTCTGTTCCAGGCCATCATCTGCACCTTCCAGGACCTTCTGGGGAAAGAGTTTACTGAAGACATCCAGGTCTCCTGGGAGAAGCTCTTTGAGGCCCTCCGCAGAGAAATTGAGGCCGCTTACGCCCGTCTTGATGAACAGCCTTGATGAAGCATCGGGGGGGGGCGACCGGGCGGTTCCTCTCCACCCTTCCCTCCCACTCATCTATATTTGTGCTGATGGGTCTGACAGAATAAAGAGGGCCCTTGTGGGGGGAACCTTGCTTGGCCTTGGGCACTCATTGCTGCTACCCTTGGGGACATGGATCGGAGCAGAGATGCCCTCCGCCCTTCCACTCCAGATCACAGCTCATTCTCCTGAGGGCCAAAGCAGGTCTGAAACCAGCTGGAGGGAGGGGTGGAGGGAGGTCACCCCCCTCAAAAAAAAGTGGATCTCTGAAGGAGGAGGACTGGCGGGGGGGGGAAGGCTGATGGGAAGAGGCTTTGAGGGAGGGGAGGCACAGGCAAAAGTCCTTCTGGCAGAGGGAGCGCCCAGGCCAGGCCCCAAAGGGGTGCTTTAGCCTTTCCTTTGCCCCTTTGGCTTCTCCCCACATCCTGCGACAGAGCAGCCCTGTGACCTCTTTGGAAACGGCCCGGAGGGAGAAGCCCCGCAGATTTCTCTCCAGGTTGCTGCCCTCCTCCTCCCTCCTCTGTGTGTGGCGGCTCTGTTCTCTTCTGGGGAGCAACTCACCAGGAGGGGGGCTGCTAAAGGAGTCCCAGGAAGCTCGAGGGGGCCACCTCCCTCCATCCCAAAAGTGGTCAAACAGTCCCTTCCCTACTCTCCAACCCCCGCCCCCACCGGTTCCCACAGTGCTGGTCTTAGACCACCACCCCCCGTCGGTCCTAAGCCCCCTTCCCCAAAATGAGCCAGGCAGGCGGCGGTTCAAGGGCTTTATTGCTCAGAGTTAGGCAACGGAGGGGCCCCCAGAGCGCTCCGGGGCGGTGGCAGCCCCCAGCGGGCAGCAGGCCGGACAGTGGGCTGGTGGCTCATCTGTATTTCTCGCACAGCACGTCGGCCACACAGTAGAACAACTTGTCCCAGGCCAGATGGGCCAGAGCGTTGTATTCGCCGCCGAGGTGGATGCCCAGCACCACGTGGAAGCATTTGGTCAGCAACTGCATTGGGGGGGGGGGGGGGGAGAGAGCGAGAGCAGGAGGACCGGTCAGTGGGCAGCAGAGGCAGGAGGGCGGGGTGTGTGTGTGAGAGAGAGCAAGCTCGTGGAGGAAGGGCCCCGCGCGGAGGTGGAGCCCCCACCCAACGGGGGAAGGGTCGCCCCCTCCCTCCCTCTCTCCCTCCCTCCGATCCCGGCCCGGGGGCCGCCCCCTCGGGCTTGCCTTGAAGTTGACGGGGTCCACGCGGAGGTTGTAGGCGTGCAGGTCGCTGAGGTCGGCCAGGGTGCCGCGGATGTTGTCCAGGTTCTGGACGGCGCTGTCCAGCGCCTTGACCACCTTCTGTCCGTGGTGCTGCACGTCCTTGGAGTTCGGGCTCAGGTCGAAGTGCGGGAAGTAGGTCTTGGTTTGCGGGTAGGCGCAGAACATCCTGCGGGGGGGGGAGGGAAGGGAAAGAAGGCCGGTCAGAGGGAGCTCGGAGGAGCCGTGAAGGGGCGGCTCTCCCCGGGACGCGACCCCGCCGCCCGCCCGTCCCGTCGCGGGCAGTACCTGGAGAGCGCCTCGCCCCCCACTTTGTCCAGGTGAGGGCCGAGTTTCGCCCAGGTCGACTGGATCAGCTGGCATTCTTCGGCGGAGAGCACCATGGTGGGCGGGCAGGCGGCGGGAGGTCGAGACGGGTGGCCGGTGGGTCCCTGCTCGAAGGACCAAGAGGAGGACTCGCAAGCTGGGAGCCGCGCTGGGGCGGCCGCTTTTATAGCTGCCGCCTTCGTCCTCCTCGGCCCGCCCCCTTTATCTTATCTCCTCGACTAGCGCCGTCGAGGACGGGAGCAGCTCAGCAAGCCCCCGAGAAGGCCCAGGTGGCGAGGGAGGGGCCCTAGGATGGCTCGGCAGCCGTCGCCGGTTCCAGTCTGGCACCTCCCGCTGGAAGAAGCTCTCTGATTCTCCCTGGCCAGCCCAGAGGGCAGCCGGAGGAAGCAAGCGGCCGGCGTGAGACCGGGCTCGCCCGGCAGAAGAGTGCCTACTGGGGGCGGGGGAAGGAGAGCCCGGAGTGGCGGGGGGGGGCATTCGTTGCAACACGTGTCTGCCATGCGGGCACCTGTGCGCCCGAAATCAGCGTACATCTGTATCTCGATGTGTTTGCCAGTGCATTTTTGCGGGCGGGGGGCGGGGGGGGCGGCCCAATGGAACTTCTACGCGAGCGTCCTGCCTGCTGTTTGGCCACTCACAACTGGAGCCTCGGGGTCCCAGAACACGCTGAAGCTGCAAGAGGCGACCAGCACTGCTGAGCCCCTCCCTCAGCCGCTTCAGCTATCGCCCTAGAGATACAGGGTCAGCCCGTTTGCAGAGGGCGGGAGGGGCTCACACCCCCACCCCTCTGCGGGGCAGAAGACCTTCCTATTCACGGTAGTCCCCGCTTTCTGTCTGCGTCTGGCTTACCTCCTGGGTTTGCTGTGAGGATCAAGGAGGGAGAAGGACATCCACGTCCCCAGCCTTGAGCTCACTGCAGGAAACGTAACCAGTAGATAAAATAATAAACTGGCCACAGGGATCACATAAACTCCCAGTGACCGCAGCTTCACTGGCTGCCCACTGGCTTCTGGGCAGATTTCCAAGTGCTGGCTCTAACCCATGAAGCTCCAAATGGCTTGGGTCCAGGAAGGACCGCATCTCCCCTTGATGAGCCTGCTCCGGCGTTCGCGTCAGTCTTTTTCTTGGTCCCACCATCTTGGCTGTCCTCCTTCAAACAGAAAAAGACCTTTCTCCTCAGGCAAGCCCTCTCTCTCAATGCCTGGCTGCCGGAGCGGTTTTCACATAAGATGGTTGTGCATTACAACTTTGAGTGTGTTTTAATGTTGTGTATGTTTTTTAGTATGGTATTCATTCAATCCTTTTTAGTACGTATTTGCATATCCTATGACCCACTGTTGTTAGCTTGAAATACTGTATTTTAATAATATAAGCCGCCTTGGGTCCTTTTTTAAAAATAAAGTATTATTATTAATGAAAGGGATATTACAAATAACAAAACTGAAACTAATTTAAAACTCAATGGTGACTACACACAATACACATTGAACTTTTCCCACCGGTGCCACCTTCACCCTTGGGACGAGGTGACCAGTGATATCAGTTGGTACCCCTTTTCAACCCATTCCTCTCCAAAAATCCATGGATTCTTCTGCCGGCTTATTTAGCCTTCCTCTTTCGAAAAGACACGCTCCGAGTATACATTCCATACGCCCTGCGCGGTGGGACGGGGGGGGCAGGCGCCCCCCTTCCGCCAGGCAGGGGCTTCCGAACGGCTTCTCCTGCCCGTCGCTCTGCCCACGGGGCACCCCCACGGCCACGAGTCTGACCCCCCCCTTTCAATTCTCACCCCGGCCAGCGAAGGCGCCGGCCTACCTCGCGGGGTTGCGGTTAAGAGAGAAAAGGCAGCCACGCCCCCACGGGCAACGTGACCTCGCATCGGGCTTTGGGCCGGCGACGCGCAGGCGCACAGCCCGAGGAGGGGGCTCAAAGCGCATGCGTGCCGCGGCTCTCTGCCCTCCGGCGCCAACTCTATGGTCGCGCGGCGGGGAAGGAGCGCGCGAGGATGGGGGAGAGCTCGAGCCCCATCAGCGTCATCCTGGTCAGCTCCGGCAGCCGCGGCAACAAGCTGCTCTTCCGCTTCCCCTTCCAGCGGGGGTCCGGGCACCCGGCCGCCCAGAGCGGTGAGGAGCCAGCGAGCGCGCGCGGCGGGAGTTCCCGGTGCTACCACTTTACATGCAAAATTCAAATGTCCCACCACTTCTTGCAATTCCTTCAGCGTAACCTTCTTTTTGCCCCTCCAACTGCGTATAATGTTCCTAATATTCTTCCAGGCCCGTGCCCGCCCCGGAGGCCCGGCTGCCGGGGAGAGGAGGTTCCTGTGAGCGGGGCGCCCCCTCCTTGCCCCCCCCCCGGGCTGGCCTGGTGGGGCTCTCGGAGGGCGGCTCTCCGGACCGAGCCACCGGGTTCTTCCGCCTCAGGCCTGTCCCTGGGGTGGAGGCTGCGCCCCGTGAATCGAGGGCATCTCCGGGGCGCTGCAGCTTAAGGCGAGGGGAGGCCGGGGGAAAGGCACGCGGAAAGGAAAGGGCCGCCTCCAGGCCTTCTTGGGGTCGGGGAGAGGGGGCCAGGCATGGCGGGCAACCAGAAGCAGCCCCATGAACTCTGCTGTGGGCCCCGTGGCCGATTTTCAGGCCCCTTGTAGACACAGAGCAGACCCCAGGCGATGCCTCCCGTTAGAGCAAAACACAAGCCGAACCAGCGCTGCTCACAGGGGGCCGGAGGCTGGGGAGATCCAGGTTCCAGCCGCCACTGAGTCATCCTGACACTCCCTGAGTGGCCTTGTGGCTCCCTCCCTGCCTCTCTACCTGACCTCCCTCACCCTGTTGTTCTGGCAGTAAAGGCAGGGAGGGGCAGCGAAGAGGAGGAAAATGGTCTACCTGCCACTAGACTGACAGAAAAGGAAAAAAAGGAATGGCCTAAGTGGCTGGTTTTCAGCACAAGGCACCTTATATATCCCATCTGTGTTTAAGGCTGACCGTCCCACCGTGATAGAAGCGAAAAGTCCACTTACGCGGGAGAAGAATTTGTGTGGGTTCCCAGAGATTCTGTTCCTGGAAGTGTGACCTTCTGTTACCCGTGAGGAGAAGAAAAGAGGCACCACGGGTCACCCTTGGCAGGAAACAGTCCATGGTGGCCCAGGAAATGGGGCATGTGCGAAGTGACCTCAAGCACGACAAACCCTCAGTGGCAGGCGAGGGACAGTGGGAGACGACAGGTCGCACTTGGAAGGGGGAAGGAAGGAAGGAAGGATGAGAAACCAGAGAGTGAATTCTTGTGATTCAGTAGGGAATCTGTGCCCCACCTGGGATGCTCCTGTATGTCGTTCCTGGTCCATTATCACAGATACAGGTTACTTGTTGATAGTGGTGTATAAAGGAGGAGTGTATAAAGTTGACATCTGAGCGTTCATCCTGGAAGCAGGCGTTGCATCACGGCCTCTCCCAATTTGAAGAGACACTTGCCCAGCCGACCGAGGCAAAAAAGCAGTCATGAAAGCAGCAAAATCAGGGAGCTGGACAGGGGACAGAATGGATTTGTCTTCAGTGTGGAAGGGATTGTCACTCACGAATTGGCCTTCTAAAGTAACTAACCGGTGAGATGGTTAGTCTTAAACACTATTCAGAGCACATTATCATAGTCTCTAGAGAGGGAAGGATGCCTAGTCTAAAGGAGGAGAGTGTATGTGGGTGGGGAGAACAGGAAGATGGATGGATCCCAAACTTTTCCCAGGTTCTTGCAAGTTTTCTCTGTTGTACTTTTTGAAGGGAAACCAAAGAGCAGGTATGCAGTCAACAGCATTGGCGACAGTGTGGAAGATCCAGATGGAGACTCCAGGTATGTGCGGTTCCTGGTCTTTTCCATGCCTGATCTGGCAAAGGGTGCTCAGGAGCACACTTTTGTCTAAAACATACAGTTGCTCTGGGCACTTTTGCAAGAAGATGCTAAATGGATGCTAAATGTGTAAATGTTTTAGAGGCAAGGGGGGAATCTATGGTTGCATTCATTCTGATCCCAAACCAGTCTAGAACTGCTAGATCCTAAACAAAGGGAGGGGTCCTCTAGCAGTGCTGAGACCAAGAGTAACGACTGGGTTCCCTCCATGTTCCCGTACAGACAATAACTACACAATCACTTGTGGGTTGAATCCCAAAGCATCCACTTAGGAATGTCCTTAAGAATTAAGGGAGCCCTTGTGAGGTCTGGCCAAGGCCTGCCGCTTTTGCTGATCCTGCTAAATCCTGACCCAAAGGATCTGGTTGTGAGGAGTTCCACTGCCACACGGCCTGGCATGACCATCATCCTGAGAAGCCAGTATTCTTCAGAAAGAAAGAATCAGTAACCCCTGGGAGCCCCATCATTATACTTGCAAATGAGAAGGGAATTAGGCTTTCCTTCCAGTGAACCTCCCTCTCAGCCAATCCATTTATGCAAGCCCATTTCAGTGTGTTTTATTTGAAAAGTCCTGGGAAGGTCCTCTCTGGCAGGTCGCAACCTTCAACGTCTGGGTGGCAAGGACTAAGTGGCTGCAGCCTTGCCCTCTGTTTCAGAGCTAGAGCAGTGTGTGATATGTACCTTTGCCTGGTTGACTCTTCCGTCCTGTTTCCGAGTGGTGCTTACGCCCCTGTTCCTGTTTCAGAGAGCCATGTCCTCTCACTGATGAGGAGGTGGTGTCAGGGTAAGACCGAATGTTCTCAACCAGCAACACCTCTCTCTGTCTTCTGAATGGCTTCCCTTGCTCACTGTCTTTTTCTTGCACCCTGTTTCTATTTCTGTTTCCCACCAAACTGCCTATTAACTGAATGACAAACTAGAACACAGGGAGGTATACGTGAGGTTTTGGAAAGTGCCCCCAAAGAGGCCAGTCAGCAACTGGAAAAGAGAGAAGCAGTTCTGTGGTAGAGCCACTGCTCTGCTTGCAGAGGGTCCCAGGTTCTCTGTTGCCCGCAGTGTCTTCAAGTAGGTTGGGAAGGAGCCTCGTCAGGAATGATGCTGGTCAGGATGGGAAGGGAGGGAAGAGCAGGAAGCCCCCAGTTTCCTTTGGGGAGATGGTCCTGTGAATCCCTTGCAGGAAAACCAGAGCGATCAGGGCCATGGTCCAGTGTGCTGTTGAGGCTGAATGTGCTCCCTCTTGGAAGGAATCTGTGAGCGTGTTTAAAATGGACTGCTCTGGCTCCTTTTGTCCAGACACAGAGAGACCATTCCGAACTACAATCGGGGTGAAGGCCCTAGAAAAAAAGTCCAGTGCTTTAAATAAATAACAATTTAACTTGGCAGGTTTTTATTTTGGTCTTGTGTTTATTAAAAAAAAACTTTCAGTGCCCCAGCAGTCAATAAGTAGTTGAACTAAAATGTTTGATAAGGCCAGGCATGCTTAGTTTAAATATTACATTGAAACAATTTCCAAGCTTTGTGTGGAATTTATATTCTGTGAGAATTTGTGTGCCATCTTTACGTATTCTGTTGGAATACATGTCTTCAGATTTTTACAGCCTGACCTTTGCATACGTAATTTGTTCAAACTGCAGGAGGAAGAGCACTGAAACTGGTGGACACACACGGGGTTTAGCACTTGGGGGATCTGTGCAGGAGGATATGGGTGTCCCCTTGTCTGCTGACCACCTGGGTTTACTTCTCTCCCACTGAGGTCTTCTGGGCACCTCAAACTTCACAGGCAGCGCGTGTATGTAGAATTGTTTACGTTCTTCCTGTCAGTTTCCCACTGGATCTGATCTGAGCCAGAAAACTTAACTAAAGGATCTAAGATGATGATCATGATTATTTTTCTGTTGCAAGGGAAGCATGTCATGCTTCAGCTTCCTCAGTCATTCAACTGGTAATGAATTTCATGAAAGAGAGTGTTTGTTCGTTTTAAAAAGAAAATTGAATTTTTCTGCAGCAGAATAAAAGGGTAGAACATTTTCTGTCAAATTGTCCGTTTGAGAAACAGAAAGGGGGAAAAAGCCTCACATCCATTATTCATCTATCTTCTGTGCTAAATTCTCATGACTGCAACATAATGAGGGTGGTAACTCAAGGCCCTGAACCCTTTCAGCTCTAGGGAGGCTGGCCACACATGGTGCGTGGCCTGCTTTCAGGCATGTCATGGAGCAAAGGCTGCCACCCCGTTTCCCTCTCCCCTCTCACAAGGGGACTTTGGAGGCTCTCAAAACAGTCTTCTAAAAGCCCAGTGGAGGTGGAAGGGAGAGAGGCTTCCCTGAGATCTCTCCTGGCCACCTGATCCAGGGAGCAACTGACCGCCTCCCACCACCTCTGCTCGGGCTGATAAGTGGCAATCTCTCAGAGCCACAGCCCAAGCAAGAGGGTGGTGCAGCTGCTCTCTGCCGCCCCAGTGACACAATGGGCAGAGGTTCCCCAACATAACCACGTGAAAGAGGGGGAAAGTGTGCCCATAGATTCTGGTGCTTCTCCACAAAGGGTGGGGTCTCTGGCTGGTGGAAATTGGTGGGGAAATCCCCAAGGATTTTTGTGGTGGGCAATGAGGGGCAACACCAGACACAAAGAGCTCCTTCTCACCAACAGCTCAGGTGTTTTCGCTCCCTCAAGAAAGCCTGTGCCAGAGAACAGGAGCCCTCTTTGTATTCTAGAGCGGCCTCCCTTCCCAGCTCCTCTGAAGGATGCGGCCGGTGCCTGTTTTCCTCTGACCGGCTGGCAGCCTGCCAGTGCCATGGGTTCAAGGCTTGGCTGACTGGGAATGTCGAGGCAGGAAAGGCCATGAGTGGCATGACTTCTTTTGGTGACCAGTCCAGTCCAGGAAAGACCTCTGAGGTGTGCCTTCCAGGGATTCCTCTGTTACTGGCAAACAGCCTTTTGAAGCCAAACCTAAGAGACCTGGAACAGAAGAGGAGGAGGTGAGGGTGAGCGGCCGGGCCAGGCGGCCGGACTCACCCGCCCTCCTCCATTGGGAGGCCTGCCTTGCCCTTCTTTCCTTTCAGGGACCTTCTGCTGAAGCAAAAACTCTGCCTCTTCTTCCCCCACCCCTCGCCCGTCTCCTCCTTCCACGTCTGAGACCTTCTCATTAACGGAAGCTGCATGAGCCTCTTTGCCTCCAAAGCTTTTCCTTTCAGTAATTATGGTGATTGGAAAGACAAGGTCTCGATGGCCAGTTAATTCTCCTCTAACAGATGGCACCTAAGGTGTCCCAATGTGTACACTTCTCTTTAATGGCAACACAATAGACCCTCTTAATTTCGAAATGCTGTGGCGCTGTGGGGGAGTCGGCAGGGAGGTGTGGTAGCAAGTTGAAGTGGTCTCTGTCTCGAAGGTTCTCGGACGTCATCCTGGCAACCATCCTGGCGACCAAGTCGGACATGTGCGGCAAGAAGTTTGAACTGAAGATCGACAACATCCGTTTTGTGGGCCACCCCACCCTGCTCCAGCATGCCTTCGGTCAGGTAGCGCCCCTGGGTCTGAGCGCCCCGGGAAGGGCAGGCCTCTGGAATGGGGTTGGGGTTGGGGCCCAGCCCGCCTGGGCTCTACCCAGGCTACCGTCTTCCTCCGCCAGGTGGCCCCTGTCAGGATCTTGGGGGAGGAGGCGGTATGTTGGGCTCGTCCTGAGTTGTTCTTCCATACATCTGCCCCCAAGCTGAGTCTCTGTAAGCCCCTTTCAAAGGCAGCCTTTTGCAAGGGAGAGCCGTCATCCCATCCGTGAGGGTCCTTTACTCTTGTGCTCTGGCCCTGGAAGCCGTGCTGACTAGTCCTCGGTGTTGGAGGCCTGGTGGCTGCTAGGTGTGAAAGAGAGGCCCTCTGTACGTGCTCACTCTTCCCCGTGTCCCTGATCTTAGCATGGCATTGGGAAGAGGCCCCAGTGCAAGGGCGCCTCTTCTGTGGGGAGAGGGGCAGCCTTTATTCCAGGGCAGGCTTCCCAGACTTTGCTTGAGAGCAGCTCTAGGTAGTGCCCAGCAGGCTTTCCCGGGTTGCATGTGATATGTGGCTCCTGTTCTCTTTGGGACATAGGTTCAGGCCCAGAGTGGGGGCCTTGAGGCCCCCTGGGGTGTCTGTGTGAGTCATTTGGGGCCCCTTGGGATCCTCCAGGCACCCCCCCCTCCCATGGTGTTCGGTCTCTCTTCCAAGCCGCTGGGTGGTCCTTGGCTGCCCTGATCCTGGTGCTCGCGGAGAGTGCTGTGGGTCCCACTGGCCCACCCGCCTTCCTGTCCACTTGGTCTCCCCCCCCTTTTTTTGCTGCTCCTTTTCATATCTTAGCTTGCCTTTGCAGATCTCCAAGACAGACCCCTCCCCCAAAAGAGAGATGCCCACCATGATTCTCTTCAACGTGGTGTTCGCCTTGCGGGTAAGAAAGCCCACCCCCAAGGCCCGTGCCCGCTGGGCTTCCCATCTTTCACCAGGAAAGACGTCCCTGCCCTCGCTCCCTAACCCTGTGTGTTCTACCTGCATGTCTCTTAGCAGACAGGGTGGGTGAGAGAGAGCTGTTGTGTGTGTTGTTGGGATGATGCCACTAATCAGCAGATCTTGGTTAGCTTGGTGGTGATCCTGAGAGAGAGGGTGGCATCTCAGAGCCGGCCAGTTCTGAGGGCGCACCTGTCCTTGGTTAGCTTGGTGGTGATCCTGAGAGGGTGGCATCTCTGAGCCGGCCAGTTCTGAGGGCACACCTGTCCCCCTCCTGGCTGGGACCTCCTGCCTTTTCTAGTCCCTCTCTTTGAGCGGGTGCGGGGGGTGGGGAGATGTTGGGGATACTTCCAGGGTCTGGTGGTGCCCACCTGGAGCCGATTCATGGGGTAGGCTGAGCCCGAACCTGTGTTCCTGTTACACCAGGAGGCAGGGAGGGCAGCTCTGTGCTGAAGAGCTGGTAGGGAGGCAGAGCAATGACTCAGCAAAAATAATCTAAAAACAATCACATGCTCTGGAATGCTGAGTCACAGCTTGTGAATTTGGGTGGCTCGGATTATCAGCTGCCTTGCCCTCTGATTCCTTAACAGGCCCTTGGCAGCTGCTCCCTATGGCTCTTTGGGTCGCCTCTCCAGCCCCACCTTCCTGGCTGTACGTGGCTGATAGCGGCCCCAGCGCCTTCCTTCCTTGGGGGCTCTGTGGATCTGTCCCATGGGGGTGCTGAGCTGCCTTGGTTTCGAATGCAGGCACCCTCCCTGGGGAGACCTTTGGTCCTCTGTTTGCTCAGCCTCGGGTTAGGCGAGCGGACCAGGCCCAGGGCTGAACAAGGCACTCCCCAGGGGCCCCACACGCAGGCTGCCCTCCATGCTGCCAGGGCCTCCACAGCCATTGGGAGGGAAGGAGGGAGGGACCGCTGTCAAGGCAGGCCTGGCTGCCAGCCTCCATGCTGCCAGGGCCTCCACAGCCATGTGGGGGCCTGGCTGCCATGCGAGGACGGTGCTTGAAGGGCCCCTGGAGCGGCTGTGCCAGCCCCACCAAGGGCCTTGAGCTTCTTGGCCCAAGCAGACGGCTCCCCCTCCCGCCACCCTTCCAGTGCTTCAACACTGCTCCCTCTGGGGGAGGGAGAGGCCTTATGGCCCCCCTCTTGCCCTTTTGGTTGCCTCCTCATCCCCAGACCCCAGGAGGCCTGACCCGCCTGCCGTTGCGGCCCCTCCCTGTTGCCCGCAGGCCACAGCAGACCCCTCCGTGATCCACTGCCTCCACAACCTCTCCCGCCGCATCGCCATCGTCCTGCAGCACGAAGAGCGGCGTTGCCAGTATCTCACGCGGGAAGCCAAGCTCATCCTGGCCATCCAAGATGAGGTCTCGGCCATGTCGGAAAGTGAGTGAAGGGGTGGGGGTGGAGGTGAGAGAGGCAGCCCCTTGCCAGCTGTAGGGGCTCCCCTCCCCCCCCCGTTGCTTCCCAGGGAGGTGCCCCGGCTGGAAGGACCTTTGAGTCCAGGGCACAGGCCCTCCAGGCCCTGGCGTCTCTTCCACAAGCTTGTCCCTCCCATGGCACAGGGGAGGGGCTGTGACCCCTAGGCACAGGCCACATCTCTTTGGGAAGGGGCTTGGAAGCTCTGCTGAGCTGTGCAGGGGCTGGGCCCCGTGTTTGTGTTGTGGATGTGGTGCTTTGAGCTCTGACTGCTTCTGCCCGCCCACCCCTAGCGACAGATGGACCCCAATCGCCCTTCCTCCACATCCTTCCCAAGTGCAAGCTGGCTCGAGACCTGAAGGAGGCGTATGACAGGTAAGGGCCCCACCACCAGCAGCAGCACCAAACCCTCTGGCAGCGCCCCCTTGCCCCCCCCCTCCTGGCCAAACAAGAGGCTGACTTGAGAGGCAGCCCCGGCTTCCCCGTGCATCTCCTGGGACTCGCAGGAAGACCCAGAACGCCCATGCCCGGCTGTGCCACCAGGGCCTTGGCCCGAGAGGCCAGGCCAAGGGAGGGTGGCTGGAGGACGGGCTGCATCTTCAGTGGGGGCCGTGACCCGAGAGCCTGAAATCCAGAAAAAAGGCAGTCTTGGAGCCTTTGGGCAGGAGAGGTCGCTATTTTGGGTAGCGGCAGGGGAGGCGCGGACCTGGGGGTGGGTCACTGTCCAGCAGGCAGGCTGCCCCCCCCCCCCCGTGGTGTTTGGCACAAGGTAGTCTCCAGAGCCTGCAGCCAGCTCCCTCCCTCTCTTGTGTGCCCTGCCTCCAGCCTTGGGCTGTAAGCACACGGGAGGTGGGGAGGGAATTGTCATGGGACCGTTTCGTGGATGGACGGACGGATGGATGGTGCGGAGTGGGAGCTGGGGGGGGGGGAGGGAATTGTCATGGGAGCGTCGGATAATCTGCCAGGGGGCTGATGGTGCTTTGTGGATGGAAGGATGGATAGATGGTGCGGAGTGGGAGGTGGGACTGATCGTTGTCTCCATCCTTGAGGGGGAGGGGAGAGGTTTGACGGGCAGCACAGGGCCCCCTGTGCCCTGATCTCAGAGGTTTGACGGGCAGCACAGGGCCCCCTATGCCCTGATCTCTGTCGGACACGACCTAATGACTAAACAACAACAAAAACTCCAACGTTTGTTTTCCATCCTGCAGTGAGACTATTCTCTCCCCCCCCCTTGTTGTGCTGAGTCTCTCAAAGGCCAGGGCTCT